CCGCAGCTGGACAGCGGGCCCTTGGCGCCGGCCCCGGGCTCCCCGTTCAGCACCTTGGCGCTCAGCAGGCAGGCGCTGAGGTGCTTGCCCCTGCCCAGAGGGTCCTCCTTGCCGTCCAGCGCCAGGCCGGCCTTGTGCCGCTCCAGGGCCCTGCCGCTCTCCTCCTCCAGGCCGGCCGGGTGCTGCGGGTGCTGGGGGTGATGGTGGGACCCCGGGTGGTGCCCGTGCTGCTGCCTGTCCTTGGCCTCCTGCTTGCTGCCGGCCCTGTCCTTGTCCTTGGCGCCCAGCACCACCCCGCGCTCCCCGCCCCCCTCCTTCAGGCTCTTGTGCAGCCCCCCGCCCCCGTCCCGCTCCCGGCTGCAGGACCCCAGCGGGTGGCCCGGGGCTGCCCGAGAGATGGGCGGGAAGCTGTGATTGGCCGACAGAAGAGCTGGCTGAGAGGGGAGGCCCCTCAGGTAGAAGTTATCTGTGGGATAAAGAGAGAAAGGGCACGGAAAAATGAACCACTTGTGTCTGGGTGTTGGGCTTCTTCTTCTTTTTTTTTTTTAGACCACGGTGAGGATGAAAAAGTAACAGCAGCAAAAACATCGTGTGAAACAGGAGCTCAGCAGAGGCTTCCAATCAGGTGAATGTGATAACTGCAAGTTAATGGATTCTGATCGATAACACTAACCTCACGCAGCATTCAAGCCTGAAGATTAGCTCATGGGCCTTGGATCACCCGTTGGTCTAGTCTGAGATCAACGTGTTTAAATCTGATCAGATTTTTCTCTGCTCCTCACAAGAATTGTTCCTACTCGGTGATGTGTTTGCTTGCCTTCCTTAAGCAATGGTGGAGTCAACTCACCTTTCTGGGTGTCATAGAAACGGTGCTGTCCATAGAGAACGCTGCTGTTGCCATGGTGATCCAGGTGGCTCATGGGAAGGAAGGTGGAGGCCAGACTCCCTGAAAAGCGGGGATACCCTGGGGCTGCTGATACAGACAACAGAGGTGGGGGGAGAGACAGAGGGAGTTTTAAAGAAGTACAGCACAAGCTAAGGAAAGAGCATTTCCTCGCTGGATAGGAGCAGAGTTCAAGCGCCCGGTGTGCCACCTGGGTTGTGCTGTATGTAGATTCTCATATCAGTGCTGAGCAGTCACCAGTGAGGAAGACCAGAACCTTGCATCTCAGGATGATATAACTCTTAAACTTTATTATATAGCGCCTTTTTAGGAAAGCATCTTTCAGAGACCACTGCAACACTGAAACATTTCAGATACAATAGAAAAGGGGAAAAAAGCAAAATAAACATGGGTTTAACATGTTTATTTAAAAGTGCCCAACAGCTAAGATAAAAACCATCAGATAGGTGGTTGCAAAACTAATACCCTTTTAAACACCCCAGTGCATAGCAATTTCCACTGCGATGTTCTGCAAAGTTAATAACCACTATAAAAGTGCAGAGCCCAATAGAAGTCTATCAGCCAATCACTATCCCCCACTCCTGAACTACAGCTCTTCTTAGGGGAAAGTCAGTGAAAAAAAGATCGAGTTTTTATTCTAGACTTGAATAAAAGGAAGGGAATTCCAACAAGTGGGATTAGCAGAGCTAATAGGTGGACCAGAAAGTTTGTGTTTTTAGACTCTGGAATAAGAAGGAGACCAGTTCTAATGATGTATCTAGGGCAAGAGTCCTGCTGAGAGTTACATGTTAACAGAAGCACTTTTATATTAACCCTGGATCTGACAGTCAACCAGTGAGGAGCTATGTGATCATGAGAAGACCCCGTTCCTTCAGCAGCTTGGTTCTGGAAGGTCCAGTGATTGGATTTCTTTCTCTCAGACAAAGATAAACCAAGATAAAAAAAAACAGCAAAACTAAATCTGCTTTCCTCAAAACAAACAAAAACAAAACTGTCCATTTCATCAGCAGGGCTTGTCTTTTCCAGAATGAGCTGGAACACAGCTGCACCCAGGAGGTCAGCCGGACAAGAACCAGCTTTTCCTCCACACTGGTTCTCCCAGGGAACCCAACTGCATCCCCGCAGGGGAACGACTTCACTGAGAAAGCACTTATCCGACGCCCAAACAGTCCTCTCTCACAACGCCACTCTCAGCTGCATCACAAGAGATTTCCAGCCGGAACAAAAGTGTGCACTGCATTGCATGATGTGAACTGACCAGAAAGTTGACTAAAAGAAAAAAAGAAAAATCACCAAATTTCCCATTTTCTGAAACAGGAAGCAGCTGGTATGTTTATCATTTTTAGCCTAGGTTCTCCATCATACCTCAGCCACTGTTATTATTTAACTTCACCGCTCTGAACCATAACTCCTGCGTGGCATTTAATGCACTCTAAGCAGGCATGGTTCACACATTACACAGCGCTGATTACACAGTGCTGTCCTGCCTCCAGTTAAAACACAGCTGTCAGCTCCTAGTCCTGGAGGGCTGGAATGTCTCTTCAGCAAGCTAAACCTTTAAACAGCTGCCTACTGGCTTAACTGGACCAATTTAACATCATTTCCTGGCTCTTCAGATGCTGCTGCTTTAAAGAGACCTGAAAAACTTGCAGACACACCAGCTCTCCAGGATCGGGACTGGAGACGTCTGGACAAGAGCACACTGCTAATGCACAACTAAACCTGACTTCTTAACATGCAGCTCATTTCTAGTGCAGTGCTCATCCTTGTTGACTGTCCTTGATTCGAATGGAGATGGTGCCTTACTGCAGATTTCTGTTTAAGGCCGACTGTAAGCATAGGAGGAGGTGGGGGGGGTAAGGATCAGGGGTGGAACTGATTCAAAGAACTGCATTCTTGCAGGCTTGTGAAGGGTTAATGCCTACCGAGTGCCCCCCTGCCGGCCCTTTAATTAAATGGCGTTAAAAGTTTAACTAGCTCAGCTAAAGTAAACACTAGTCTATAACATACAGTCTCCAGATGCCTCTGACTTTTTGCCCCCCCAGCCTTAAAATATTCACAGCAGTCCCCTCCCGCCCCCACTGCCCTGCAAGGCGAGCAGGGCACACATCTGTTCCTCCCAGCTCCCAGTGCCCTTTCCTCCTCAAGGCCTGTAGCACAGCTAGCTCTGTTTGCATTACGGCGCTCAGCAGACATGTCTGAGTCGGCTGGGCTAGTGATGGAAGCACCAGAGCTCTGCGTTTGCCGGAGTTTTGTTTTGACAGCTTCGTCCCTCCGTAATTACACTGCAAACTCCAAAAGGCCTTTCCCTGCAGTGTCCCATACACGCACTGCTAATTCCGATCAGTCATTCCCTGCAGTATCCCATACATGCACTGCTGAATCCGATCGGTCTGTCCCTGCAGTGTCCCATACATGCACTGCTGATTCCGATCAGTCATTCCCTGCAGTATCCCATACATGCACTGC